GAGAGAGAGAGAGAGAGAGAGAGAGAGAGAGAGAGAGAGAGAGAGAGAGAGAGAGAGAGAGAGAGAGAGAGAGAGAGAGAGAGAGAGAGGTAATCGCTGATGAGCCAATCGCCGGCAAGACGTCTTGTCATCTGCCACAGCGATTGGCCCTGAAGGTTTGAGGAAGGATAACACACACACACACACACACACACACACACACACACACACACACACACACACACGGATAACACACACACACACACGGATAACACACACACACACAAGGATAACACACACACACACACACACACACACACGCGCGAGTTCGGGATGCGCCGCTGGCTATGGCAATTGCCGTCGTCCGTCCGTTGCCACACGTGCGGAGGACCGCGCCCCTCCAATCCGCAGTACTGGTCGCCGGCGAGCCGACACGCCCGTCACAGGCCGAAAAAAAAAAAAAAAAAAAGACAATTTTTTTTTTTCCAAAACGCGACTCGGCCTCCGACCATACCACCACCCACAGGGACCCCGCCCTAACCTGCGTCCCTTCGTCGGACGCTACCGGAGGCCGACGCGCCACAAGTGAAAACGCTGGTTTTCGAGGGAAAAAAAAAAACAACAACAAAAACGAAAAGTCCCGCGGGACACAGGCTTGCCGAAATCTGGCGCGCAGCATAATTCAGGTTCGGCAAAAACAGGCTCGGAGGTACTGGTGGTTTAAAAAAAGAAAAAAAGAAAAAGAAAACCTGAATTACCGCCGAAAGTCACAGCCAATGAAAGTTCCTGCCGCACGCCCTCTAATGGCGCGGGTTTTACATTCGCAGAACTGTTTGAAGGCCGCGCTGGGTCCGAGGCAACAGATGGAAAAACGTAGAGGGATTTTCCATTCGCAGACCGGCGGGACGGGATGCCGCCAAATTCGCCAATGACATTAGCGGAGCGGGGCCCGCCCACGCTGGCTCGAAGCAAAATAAGCGGGTTTTTCCTTTTGGTTTTGTTGGGGAAATAAGCGGCGGGGTTTTTCATTTTCAGAACTCTTTGAATCTCCCGCCCATGAAATCTGCGAAACGAAGGACGAGACGAAAGCGAACCCTGGCCTCTCGTGCCGAGGCGAGCGCCATCGCCTGCGTCCCGCCCTTTTGATGGACCTGTCTCTTATACACATCTAGATGTGTATAAGAGACAGCCTCACAGGTGGTCAAGGAGTGGAGAACGTAGTTGATGCGCAGCATCTGTACGGTGCGCGCCGAAGTAGGGAGGAGTAGCGGAGGAGTTGTATGAGCGGGACGCTGGAGATCTCCGCTGTTTAGAGCGCGGCACTGCGGCGGCAGTTCGCGATGCAGTGTCCCAGGACCTCGGCGCCATTCCAAATTTGGGAATGGGCGATACTGTACGATACGGACGATGATCTGATACGACTAGACCAGACAGACTACACGGCGGGGGGAGGTCGCTTTTTCGCATGCACACCGCGATCAACTCCCGCCTTTGCATTCCCTCCAGTACGCTTTCATGCCACGGACCACATGGCGCTGTCCTGGACTGTATGGCGCGGCCATGGACGATATGTCGAGACTTTGGGAGACATGGCGCCGGCTCTCTCTCATACTTCGGGTGTTCGCCCCGCGCAGCTGTGGCAGAGCATATTATCAGGTCTCATCTGCAGACCTCTCTTGGGCGCCAGTCAACTATCGCGTGTGGAAGCAAAGCAGAAGCCGGAAAGCTGCAACACTACAAAAGCTCCTCAGTCGTGGCTGATGACGACAGTCCATCCGCCCTGAGAAAGTCCGTTCCCGCTTGCCGATATAATCATTCTACCTTTCAGGCTTGTATCGTTCGAGTACGATTACGGTAGCTGAGAACTATGTCCATTGAACGAAGTGCAACGTCAATCATGTCGTTCCCCCTTTCCTTTCCACTGAGCGTCAGCAACGTTGCAGAAAAATCGTCATCAGCCGGTCGAGGAAAACGTCTCCCCTCTCGAGTTATGGCTTCCTAAAGCCACCTTACTTCGCGCAGCCAGGACAATGAGGATCTGAAGACAAGCCAACCGCTCGCTCTCTCTCTCTCTCTCTCTCTCTCTCTCTCTATCTCTCTCTCTCTCTCTCTCTCTCTGTGTGTGTCTGTGTGTCCCCTCCCCCCCCCCACCGACCCCTCTCTTTCATTGAAGTGCACCTAGTCGTGCGCCACCATGATGGCCGCGCATGGCGGTAGACAATTAGGAGCAAACGGAAATGTGCCGGGCGATGGCTGTCCTGACGAGAGTGACAACGTGACGGCGTGTGGGAGGAGCGAGGAGAGGGTATCATCCAGGTGGATTCGGGGCAGCGTACTTGGGCAAGGGTCATTTGGGCGGGTGCATTACGCGCTTGACAGACGGTCGTGCGCAGTGTTCGCCGTGAAGACCGTGGTCATCTCGCCGGCGGCCGTTTGCAATCCAGGCGGTTCCTTGGCGCGCGCGCCGATGGCTGAGCTTCGAGGATTGGAGAACGAGATTACGATACTAGGGCGGCTGGGTCCGTCTCCTCACGTGGTGCGGTACCTTGGTGATGATTGGACAGTCGCCCAGGACGGGTCAATGGAGCGTAACCTGTTCTTGGAGCTAGCCAACGGTGGCAGCTTAGCGGACTTCACTAAGCGTTTCGGCGGAAAGCTGGACGAGTCGATGATCCGGCGATGCTGCCGGGGAATGGTGCGAGGCCTGCAGCACGCGCACTCTCGGGGCGTGGTGCATCGGGACGTCAAAGGTCAGAACGTCTTGACGATGGTCGACGAGGCGGGAGGAGTAACCGCCAAACTCGCTGACTTCGGTGCTTCAGCTTGCATTTGGGGGAACCGTGGTGCTGACAACGATGGTCAGTCACAAGGCTCATCGGGGGACGAGTGCGGCGCTTGTCCGCGGCGTTCCGCAGGACTCGCGGGCACCGTGCAGTGGATGGCTCCCGAGGTAGCCTGCCAAAGCGGTCCCCTCACAGTTGCTTCGGACATTTGGTCGTTAGGATGCACAGTGATTGAGATGGCAACGGGCAGAGCGCCGTGGTCGGACGTGGAGGACATCATGTCAGCCCTGTTCCGCATCGCGTGCACAGACGAGGTCCCTGCTTTTCCCGAGCATCTGTCAGTAGAGGCCAAAGACTTTCTCTCCAAGTGCCTGGTCCGAGAGCCGTCCCGGAGGTGGTCTGCTTCCCAGCTTCTTGAGCACCCGTTCTTGGCCAATGCTGGACACGAAGCAGTCGCTCCTGCTCGACGCCGAAGCAGCTCCGCGAAGCTCGTGGAGGGAAACAGCCATCCTGTTGGTCTCCGCGCGCATGTGGATCGGGCCCTGGCGGAAGGGGCCGTCTCGTACCCTTTGGGTGGCGGGAAGGAAGCTCCGATGGGCGATGACATGAGAGAAAGTGGGGAGACGCGCTGGGGCTCTGGAAGCGAGAGGTTGACATGCAGCTCGCGTTTGGAAAAGGCTCGGAAACAAGAAGTCTCTCCTCGACTTGTATTTGATCTTCCCACGGCCTTTGGCTCCGAGGTATCGATACATTCTGCAAATGGCGCTGGGCTAGTAGCGGTTCCAATCCGCAAGAACGGCCAATCAAGCGCACCGGATGTTTCCCTGGATGGCTTGGGATGGGAATGCAACCACGGCGACGGGAAGCGACTTGGATTGACAGGGCTAATACAGTCGTGCTCGATTGAGCGCGAGGACGGAAAAGCACCTGTCGAGGGACACCCTGGGCGGCCTAACGATGCGCCGAGGGCAGAAGAAGCCCTGCCAGTTAAGCCGGACGCATTCTGTCGGATTCAGAAGCCGTTGCCGGATGGGTGCTCCCCGGGGTGCTCCCTGGTACATCGGTCATCGAGAAGGGAAATATTTCGAGGCTTCGACGAAGAATCAGATGCTGGCGGCGAGGAGGCAGCAGTTATGAACAAGGCGGACGTTGGGCTGTGGCAGCCAGCGAGCCGTGAGCTGTCGGTGCGGGGACCAAGTGGGGAGTGGATTCAGGTACTCCGCGGCAGGAGGCAGCAGGGGTGTAGAGTAGCTAGTCCGTCCAAGGAGTCGGCATCCGCTGGAGAGAGGCGTTGGAGCTGGATGCGTTGTGCCATTCACCATCGCGACGATGTCTCCCCACCCCAACAACAGGTTACTTCAGGAAGAATAGCTTCCATAGGATCTACACCTGGTCATCCTGAGAGGTGCATCAGTAGGCTAGACGATTTGAGGATCCTCGTTACCGATGCACAGAACCGCTGGTACGTGAAGCAGAGAGCATCAATATCTATGACATCCAACAACGTGGGCTCTACAAAACGGGTGGATTTGAGGGCGGAGGAATGACATAAGTTCGGTTTCGCCACAATAGGATTAGTATACTTATCCGCTTAGCGTAGATCCGTATATCTGTTCGTTAATAGATCTGTAGGAACCTGAGTTCTACTGGAGTAATAGGACGTCGGCTCTCTCCCAGACGTCTGTTGGCTCATCAACGACTCTTTGCGATTCAGTCTTGCTGGCCGCCGATAGCTAGAAGAACATGTCCCTGCTGAACAGATAAAAAATACTCCATCAAATTTGCTAAAAGCGTTTGTGTTTCATATGAGATGATAGCGCACTGGAATGTGCCATTTCTGCTGGACGTCAGCCCGTCGGTCGAACACCGTGATCGTTCTCTCTCTCTCTCTCTCTCTCTCTCTCTCTCTCTCTCTCTCTCTCTCTC